AGAGGCGTCGCATAGAACGGGAGATTAGGCTAGGACGTGCCGCTAATCTGGGCCCCTTCGCACTGGGTTCCCATGAAATCTCCTTGAAGGCCGTCTCGCCCCTGCTTACGGTAGCCCCTTCCACTGGGACTGGAAATGAATCCCCTGCCCTCTTGCCGGGACAGACTTCCTTCACGCTGGGATCGCATACGTTGACGACGCCGGGCCATGAGAATGTAGAGAATTCACAGCGGATTCCGTTGAACCTCACTTCTCCTCTGCAAACGGCGCCACCCGAACCCAGCGACGAGGAGGTCGCGGCTTTCCTGGACAGTGTAGGAGAGCCCGGCCGGGAGTCCACACCAGCCCCTCGACTAACGCCAGCACCAACATCCCTAACGCCAGCACCAGCCTCTCTCTCACCAGCAATGTCGACGTCGATTCCGGCAAGCCAGATAGTAGTGAACGGGGTCGTAACTCAGTTGGCTGCGCATCCATGGTTCAACCCCTCGTTCAACATTCCCCAGATCGCCATAGAGGAGCCTTCCGGAAGCTTGGTCACGGAAGAGGCTCCCGACGAGAGCGCAATGATGGAAGTGGACGACGCGGATTCTCGAACAACGTTGGAGGGCATAGCAGCTGCGGCACCCTGGGCGGCCTCAGTACTCGGTCAAAAGCGGGATAATGAGAACAGATGAACGACTCTTCGTCGTGGGGGGCTCTGTGACAGGTATACTTCCGGCTGACAACTCAGAATCGCTCTATCAGATATGCATAATCAATTGATCTCCAGTAGTCACATTAGTCACTAGTCTTGTAACGTACACGTGACAAAAGTCACGCAGCAGCAATCTTAACCAAGTCTCTCATCTTCTTGTGCATCGTCTTTCTCCCTCCTCGTGGACCCGTCCCGACCGCCTGAGTACGCTCACCTGCTCCCTCCCGCCGTAGGATACGGGTCAACAGTCGGGCAGCCTCTGGATTCCAGCGGCTGTCTGACCCCCTTGCCGACTTCTTACTCTTCGCTTCCGCCCAGCGTAAGCCCCTCGAACGACAGCGTCACACTACCCCGCTTGCTATCCCCTCTAAGATCGGTCCCTCCGGAGTCCGTGTATTTTCTGTAGCTTTTATTCACTCTTTGGATCCTACTCTCAGCCCTGCTAGGCTTTTGTTGGAGCCTCTGGGTTGCCCTTACAGTAATTACTATTGAAACTCATTTCTACTATAGTAGCAGTGATGTATTGCTTTATGGAATCACTATATAATATTGTTTGTCATGGGCCACCTATGGGTAAATCCAGGGTGGCCTGCACCCATTCCCGCCAATGGCCCGGGCCTGCCTCGGTGGGGGCGGGTACCCACGTTTTGTCAGGGGAACCCCCCTTTCGGCCCCTCGGAGACGCGTCTGACTCCGGTCCGATTCCGGTTCAGACTCCAGTCCGGCCCTCCATCTTGCCCGCACAATCACCGATCCGTCAACGCCCTCCCGACGGTTGCCCTGGGACCTCGCCTGCGACGCCGCCCAAGCCTTCTGTGCCCGACAGCGGCAGCTACAGACAAGCAGTATATAGTCAGCTCCCTAGCAGGCGGACCCTTAGAGTTTCTTCTCTTTGGATCCTCCCCTGCTAGGTCAGCTTCATTTGTATTCACTTACCAATGTTCACGCTTTGGATCCTCCCCTGCTAGGACCTTGATCTTGGGCCTCCGGGGTTGCCCTTACACGTTTTGGCTAACAGGCCATGGGTGGCCCGCTTTTTACAGACCATGAAGGCCACGTGAAGGCCAGTGGCCACCATATCATCAGGTCTATGGCTGTTGCAAGGTTCAACTCCCCAGCAACAGCCGTTGCTGCCATCCGAGCCAAGTTGGTGACGCTTTTGAGGCGTCGGAGCTTGCCCGGAGCCGGCTACCCCGGCCGGCTATTGGGTTTGCCGGGCCTGGCGGGCCAGGGCAAGGACCAGTGGGTTTGGGCATCAGGCCTGCACCCGTACCCGCGTATGCCACCTGTGACAAGTACTATATAATGGATCACATATAACATTGATTTAAAGTATGTGACTATATGTCTGAATCAGACTAAGTTTAGTCATATTAGGAGGCAGAAAATGGCTATTATAATCCATCTTACTATAATTGAATTCAATATTCTGTGGCCATAATATAGTATAGTCATAATATAATATAATATATTCAAACATAATCATATTCAAGTGATTGACCAAGGGCATAATAATATTCTGAATATATTCAATATTTAATCAACCATAATATAATCCTGGCTAGCACCAGATAGAATGTGATGGGAATCTGTATGATGATCTACTTCTATCCTGCAAATCAGAATAGAAACCAGAATATGAAGTCTAATTCTGGTTTCTGATAGTGTGTACATAATGGCGACCAATGCCGGGACGGGGCACTATCACTGACACAACCAACTACTTACTTCTGCAAGCGCTTGATTGGGCTACTAGCAGCTACGGAAAACTTCAAGAAACCGAAAACGGGGACACGGCAAGGGCTCCGTCCGGCGTCAAGACCGCATCATCTATATCTGCCAGTGATCAGATGCGCGGTCTTGCCTGATTTCAGTCTTGAGAAGTACGGCGACGTGGGTACTAGTCCATAGGAACGCCAAAATCAACTATATGTTTTTGCATAGATGGACGCTGCAGTCAGTACTCAGCCAACACTTACAGCCGTTACTCATTGTGACGCCATGTCAATGCCAGGTTAACGAAACTTGCCTCTCACCATCACCCGAGTCTGCGATACTTAGCTTCAAAGGCTTCGCATCTAGGTACGCTGTTCATTTTTATTCGCTGTAGAGGCTATTTACTCACGATGCTGTAGGAATGACTCCGGACTCGGAACTTGAAAGCTGTGTATTCGATGAAGGAAGCCTAAGCCAGCCTACTAGCACGCGGGTTACAATCGTTGCCCGTCTATCTTATGACACAGAACTCAACAGCAGCTGTTGAGACTGCAACAAAGCTGTTGAGCTCGAGAACGCCTTCCGGAGTAACGTGGATACCGCGTGTCTCGTCGAAGCGCTACAAAATCGTTCTGTTGAACCAGGAATACCATATACACGCACAATGTCATACGTGAATCTGTTTGGCACCAGCGTGCGGTACGCCATAACAGTCATTCCTGCACACAGCTAGATACTAATTTTTTTTGCGAGGCTGATATTCTCGTCAGGGCTGGGGTGTAATTCTAGTCCCCTCTGACTGGATTTGCCCAGTCGGCGCTTATTGCACTGGACATGCGTATATATACTACTTATGTCCAGTGGTCCCATTCCTCATCCCTCGGGCACGTCCTTCCCATTTCGTTCTCCCCCTTGACTTTCCCTGTTCGACCCATCATGGCCATTTTCCCTGTCTCGAGCGATGCAACGCAATTTGTCCAGATCCTGGTCATATTCGGAATCATCTGTACTTATCGCTCCCTCGTCATTCACTCTTCCCCGCCCAAAAAAATCCATCCCTCTTCTCTGATTTCTCTGATTGACAGCAAACGCTTACGATTCTCACCGCAGTGATCCTCTACATCTTATTCGGCGTACTGTTCATTGTCGTGTCGCATCTACAAGAGAGGCTACGCAGAAAAACAGAATGCATCAACTGTGGCTGGAGGTATGGTGACAAGGCGCCGCTCTCGTCGTCTTGGGACCTCATCTCCCCTCCCTGTACCGCGGACAACGCCATATCTGACCCGAATACGACCGAAGCCGAACACGAAGGCATCACTATCCAGCTGGTGCTCAGAACTCTCGCGCAGCCGATTGTCGATACGGCCTTGTCTCCACTTCCACCTGCAAAAGTCCCCTGAAAAGGTAACGCACTTGTCTCACTAGCTGCCACACACGATTATCGAAGCCACCCCGCAGCTTTCCCCATCCGAAAAGCTTCACGGTCATATCTACACGGTCAACGGAACTCTCTTCTCAATGCAGCCTTCGGTCTGGTCGGATACATGACTTTCGCCCAGAACGCGGTCCTTGCCAAAACTATGGTGTCGGAGGACTCTTGCAGCCGTTCTAATTCGAAGTTTTTGGGCTAGAACCGCTCTGCATCGTTTCCGCACCACCTATTTTTGACGAGGACCGAGGCCCCCATTCCCGCTATGTCATTATTCTCGGCACGTGCTTTCGGGCTGTCTATGCTCTCGTCGTGTTCTCCCCTTTGTACGGTATCTGGTCATTTATGTATAGCTACTAGTAGATTGTAACAATGCGTATTGTGGTAGTGCCAACTCGAAAATGCCTGATTATGACTTCAAGTTGTCTGCTAGTGCTTACTTGGTGCTTACGGACTCGAGTCGACAATGGATGGCGGGGCACTGGCAGAGTCTTCAAACCTTTCCTACCACGATCACACTCAGTAGCGCATACTTACTCAGACCTCGGAAGCAGTCGACGGCGTAAATCCCTGGTGACATGGCTTTGCGTTCTACCAAGCCAGTTCGGCTGCCATATACTCTTTATAAAGAATGGCAAATGCCCTTAGGCTTCAGGCTCCCCCAATCCATCTTGGGGATTGCACTATAAGTCATGTCTCACCATTCAGATGAGGGTGCAGGATCTAACCCGGGATTAAATCCCCATTCCAAAACAACTGTTTACAACTTACAAATTCTCCGTCTGCAGTCCGACTCGCCGCAGTCCGAGTCGTACAGTTCCCAAATCCACGCGAGAATGGTGCGTGGATTTGCTCCCAATAAGCATTGATGGTCATAGATCCTCGTTGGCGATGTCTCACAACTTGAATCAAGTCCACCAGCCTCGTCGTCCACATGCCACGGCGAGAAACACAGGCACCACACTGACTCCACCGCCAGTGACGTTTCCATTCCAGTTTTGGGAGTATGCAGTAACAATATGATGTGGATATGTAAGAGTACTGTCCAGTTTAAACGAGAGAGCAATGCGACGGGCATATAGAGTAAGTAACCAAAGGGGGTGCGAAAGAGCCAATTAAGAAGTAGTCGTAATGTGACGAAGGCCATGAGTCCATTCATACGCTGCTTGTAGGTAGCTCAATAGGGCAGGCTGCACCGTTGACTGTCGTGGACGACCCATAGGTCCCAACCAAACCAGCAATGGCCATGTTGAGCACAAGATTGAACTTCACAACTGAAAGGTATCAGCACAGAAGAGAAATGACAGGAAAACACACCTGGCCTCTTTCCGTCGGCGAACTGCACCTTGTTCTTGCACCCGTTGTACCAATTCAGCCAGGTCGTGTCCGAGTCGTTCGTCGCCACATACGAAAAGTTCAGCGGCAATTGTACATTCACGAATTCGTTCGCCTTCAGCGTCCGATGACCCAAATCCCCAGTTGCGATTAGGAAACCAGAGTCGAGGTCATACAACTTCGCTCTCAGATGCTGGAAGCGCAACGGGAGATTATTGCTGTTGGTGTCGACTTGCAGATTCGCAAACGCAGGGAAACTGAAGTTGGCAGGGACACGGGAGAACGCAGTTGGAACATCACTGGCGAACTGGCCACTTGCGCTGACCAGAGGGTTGTTGTTGCTGAGGGCGAAGCTCGGTACCCGTGGCAAACAGACGCCAATTAGGACAGCGATTCTTTTGAAACAAGTCAGCCAGGTGAGACGAGCGGGAAAAAAAAACGCACATTGCGATGACAATGAATGCAACGAAGACAATGACCCTCTTTGTGAGCCATTTCCCGCCCTTGTTGCCACGGGTCCAGTCGCGCCATATACGAGTCCGCTCCTCGGCCTTGCGTTCTCGCTTTCCGGCTTTTGTCATCCCGTGCATCTCGTCCTTGCCCCACTCTGCGCCCATCGCGGGTACTGTCACCATTTCCACTGGGCCGCTCGTTGTCGATGCATCTTCTGCCTTGGGAGTGCCATTGCCAGGTAGCGATTGATACCTGGATGCGGAATCGTTAAAATAAGTCGGGGAAGCAAGAGGAGGAAGGTGCCAAGTAGTTGGCACTCAAACGACCATTTCCAGCGAGAACAAGCGGCAAGCTATGACGAAAGACTCACGCATTCGGATCTCCGCCCATGCCAAACGCACTGCTATACCTCGGCCCAGCGTTATTGAAGTCGGCATAGACATCCCAGCCTTGCCCACCACCAAGCTCCTCCTCTTCATCTCTTCCTCCTTTGAGCGGTTCCGGCCGTCCTTGTTGAGAGAACGAGCCTTGGTTGTACCCAGCGCTCCTCAGAGCACCCTTTGGCGGTCCAGCGAGTGGGTCAATACTCTCCCGCCCAAAAAACGATGAAGCGTCATCACGACCGGGTGTGGGGGAGGGAAAGTCGGCGGCCAGGGCATCGTACGAGGTCTTACGACCCCCATAGAACGATGAGACGGTCGATTTGCGGTCTGCGTCCATCGCTGGCGTGCGAAGGAAGGGGTGAAGGTGAAGGGAAAGATTTGTCAGAGCATCAATCAAATAAGTCACGCGACATGATGAAACTGATTAGTCAGGTATGAATGGTTGATCCCTTCCTCCACCACTACTGTAGTATTTCAATCAATTCTGCAGCCCTGTGACCTGTGACACATGTAGCAGAAATGTGCAATTCAGCCAAGGGCAAGATTTGGTGTGACCTCCTGCCTTATATGGAAGTTCTGCGCGCCGGAGGCGCGGAAAAATTTGGAAATTACCATTTTGGGATGGTTTGGGACCAAACATATCTGCTGTGACCTGTGACAGGCAGAAAAATTTCGGCCAAAAATCTCAATGTGACCGTGACATGATTAATTGATCGAAATACTACAGTAATCGGTTTCGTTCAAGGCAATGATTTGATTACTCCTGCTCTGGGTGGTATGTGTGAAGGCCAGTGGCCCACCTGCGCTGGTATAGTTTTCGTCGACGACGTTGACCAATAACCCAAGGAACGGTGTTGCAAGAGGTAGTTAAAATTTTTCCATTTTCTTAAAACCCTTTTACTCAATCCGTTCATACAGAACGCTGGTCAATTGCCTAACTTGCTGTTATTGTGCGAAAATCATGATGGAGCAATCGCAAGCTCGAACAGGCAGCTTCGGGATAATTTCCGACTGAAGGCTACTGATTCTCGTGACCAATCCATCAATCAGATAATCATTCCCCACGAGAAACCTATGCACACGCTGTCTCTGGCGCCACCGCAAAAAGCCGCCGGTTCGCCTCCCGCGACCCGACTCTCGACACTCGGGTCCGCGCCTTTCCGAGATACTTTCCCGCGCTCATCCCTGCCATAACCGACACAGAAAGGACAATCAAAAACCTCCGAATTGAATACCTGAATGAAGGATGGTCGGGGCTTGTGCCTCGATTGAAGAGCAATAATGAATCTCGGTTGCTGATTTTTCCGTCGAGCGTCGGTCATCGCCTGCTGCATTTACTTAGTCTGACCTTCTCCACGCGCTTAACGGCGGCCGCTCGGCGCTCTGGATTATATCCTCAATCACGTCGCAAGCACGCACTTCCTACGTACTTGCCCCCACTTCAAGTTGGGTGCGTACCTCTAGAGACCTCAAGCTCACTTCTTGTATTGTGACAGTGCGATCTTACAGGACCTTACAGCTAGAACACGCCAATTAATGTAGCAACGGTCCTGGAAAAACCATGGATCCTCATAGCGCTGATTTGCCGCGGCGTCCCAGTAAACGGCGGGGACCGGCGGAGGCAATGATGAAGAACTACCGTTCTGCCTATGGCCAACTCGCAATTATGGACATTTTCCAACCCCACAATGGCATATATACTTTCTCCCGCTCCCGCGCAATTCACAGTGCCTTCCCGCGTCCGTCAGCGATTCAATCATCTTGCTGTAACTCAACCTTTGCCCAGAAGCATCGCAGTTTGAATAATCTCCCAAAATAAACAGACAATTGGCCATCCCGGCCCGAACGGAGTGTCGCGGAGGGTTTCCTTCACCGACAACGTACTGATTTACGCAGAAGAGGACGGCGAACTTGGTTGTGGTATTTATACCAGTATCTAAATAAGCATGCCCCCATTCAAGCTGAATGCTTCTAGCACAAAATCATTCCTCACAAAGTCTCGGACATTATAAAAAACGCTTTTGATTCGGCAAACATGTCGATGTGATCCCTCCTGCACGGCAGGTACTCCGAACTGGTCCTTACTAGTCCCTTATCGCGTTTGTGGGCGCCGGCGGAACCGAGGTGTGAATGCTGTGCCAAGATAAGTGATATAATACCGTCACAAGTTTAAATGATGCGAATTTGAACGGCAGGAGCACGAAGCATTCTGAATCTATGGTACAAGAAAGGTACATACATGTTTTATTCCAATTTGTTAACAATTTGTTGGAGAGTACTTACCGCCTACTACCGGCCGAATGTCGGCGTCGGCCGACATCCCCAGCTTCCAAGCAACACTGACATCGCGTATGAACGCCGAAACCCCCTGTTTCGACATGGATATCAGCGTCCCCAGCGACGTCCGTTTCAGCCGGAATGACCCAATGCAATTGCAATCCAGTTTCCCGTCCTTCCTGTATTCCAGGCTTAACATGGTTTACCTTTCTTTCTGGGTTTCCTTGTTCTTTCATCTTCCCGCATGCGATTAACCACTCAGATGACCGATCATCATAAGCATTGCGGGCAATTTTCACAGAATTTGCAATTATAGCTCCGCGCGTGCGAGTCCGTCGCCCAAAAGAGGGTATTCTCCATTTGCGGATTCCCGCTTGGGCCAACTGCCGCGCACGTGCGGAGTTTCAAAAACACACGCGCTTGACGACGACGCGTGCCTGTCACTGGTAATCTGTAGTTGCGTTGACTCCAACCATCCAAGCTGATTGCAAGTTGACGGTGGCGCAACGCGGCTGAACGGACGCTATATTTTCAGTGTGAGTGTGCTGACACGAGAACGCGTCGGCGTCGCGGGAAACGCGGTGTGTTTTAACTTTCGCGCTCTCAGTCCATATCCTTCCATATCCAGTACACTCAGTTGACAGTTGGCGAAGAATGCGGCGATTCCCGGCTTTCCCTTTTCTTGTGATGATTTGGCTCCGCATTCCGATCAGGTGAACACCCAATGAGCACTGACTCCTTCACAACCACGACCACGACCAGGCACACTTGAGGTACACATAGGCGATCGAAGATCAAGGATTGTCCTCGTTGTTCGTTGCTGTGCAGTGAGCATCGAGTGTTTCAGACGTTGATTCACGCCGATTCACAGATAGGAAATATCGCTTGAGTCACCTTTACGAACTTGTGAAGGATACACATACATTAGAACTTATGGCTTGCACAAAGCGGCTTCTTTACCTTTCCGTCAGCTTCTCTTCCAAATGTACAAAGTTGTTGGAACAGTGGAAGCTTTGTTGGTATGTTCAACTGAAATTGATAAGAAGATCGGAAGAAGAAAAACAGACTGCAGTCAACTTGTCAAGACGCCGACGCGATGACAGGTGCAAGATGCCCGTCTCGCAGTGTCGTCATCGTCCATAGAGTAGGCGTCTGCCAGACTTGCGCGCAGACTATTTGCGTGTGCTTTTGGTGCTCGTTGAACTGAATGTGTGGGTGTGTCCGCGGCGGAGGTCGACTGCTGAGTCATGGTAAAATATAGCAATTGGACTGCAAGGCTCATAACCTTATTTAATTATCCGCGACGCTCCAGTTCCGGCATCGTGGGAGCCTTTGGCTGGGCACTATCAATGCCAGGTTAGGGTCTCTCGCCTCGTTCAAGTTGAACAGTCTATAGATTCAATCGCCCAGATACATGAAGAGGCTTCCAGGACTCACAATTGCATGTTTTGGCCTGTTTTGGCTCTGGATGACCTCAGGGTCTAGACCCTCGCCAAACCCTCGCTAAGCAATTGCCAAATCCGCTCCATATCCGCTTTCGGCACGGGCCTTTTTTGACTCGACGGGCTCACACGCCGTACGTCATCACACCCACAATTTTTTTTTCTTGCAAAGCCCGATTGACGAGCGCGTAACGATTTTCCGAGTTGCTCTCAACCCTGACTATGGCATGGGCTTCAAAACCCCAAGTGCCGCGCTGCCTGCCCCCAACCATCACCCACCCGACCTACAGCTTTAGCTAGACCTTGCTCATGTCGCATCCCGCCAACTGCCGCTGCTCCCAGTGTCACCTTTCTGCGAAGCTCTTTCCTAGAAACCAAAGCGACAGAATAGTCCTCCCCGCCCCAGGTCGTGCGTTGTTCTTTCTTTGTTTCTTTGTCCTTTTCTGACAAATGAAAGCAGCGACAAGCCCTGGAAGGGAGTCAGACAGAGCCCGAATGGCGCCACCCCGCCCCCAGTCAACCGCGCCAGACCAGTTCCGCTCCCACCACAGCCATCGTTACGACCAGGGCCAGCCACCCCCGATGCCGTCTATGCCTTCTCCCTATTCTAGCTCTTCACGGAGGAGTATGGATGCCCGTACGTCTTCTTTCTCTCCCTTTCAGGTCGTTGACAAGGGTCCTCCAATAGCGCCCCCGATGCCTATGCCCGCGCCGCGCCCCAAACACCGCCATACTCCCTCTACGCCCGCTGCCTACCCACCGCCTACTTCTCCGCACTCCCGGTCCGGTGTGCCGCCCGCGCCGACAACTTATACTTTTGCGCCGCCAGATCGGCCTGCGTCCGCTATGGCCACCTCGCGGCCCTCGACCGCGGCCCCTACGCGCCTGAAGTGGGTCGAGAAGAAGGAGCGGGTCAGCCACTTCACGCCAGCGGCGCAGTATCAGGGGACCAGTTTCAGGCAGTATGTGCACGAAGGCCTGCCGAGTGACCGAAGGAGGAGTTGAGAACGTGCCAAAATCTAATGTTGAGCGCCGTTTTAGATTACAGTAGAGCCAGCGGTAATGTGTTTGAAATGTGCACGATGTAGTACTATGACTTGAAGTGCCGTCTTGATGACTCGTAGAGAATTAGTCTAATGAAATTGCGATGATAGTGTACTCGTGGTACCGGCTGATTGAAATATAAAGTCCCAGACTGGTTAGAAGACACGCAGGAGAACTTGAGGCTCAATGCTTGTGATCGGGGAGCTCGGTTGTACGGTTCGAGGTTTATGGCGACATCCATGTCAGTCATTCGACTCCTTCCTTTCGATTCGGATGCAGTCCACTGGCAAACGATACAGAGCGAATTGAAGGATGAATCAGAATGATTTCTGAGTAACACCATGCACTGAGTAACCCCATGCACTAGCGATTAATGACATCTCCAACACAGAACTCTGCACACTACTCACCACCGTAAATGCCATGGCAATAAGAAGCGAAGCGGCGTCCAAAGTAAGCATACCTGGAGGCTGGCATTCTTGGATTGTCGGCACAGAGGCTGCAGCAGAAGGCAGCAGTATATTTGAAACACCACGATGACGATCATGTACCATTGCACGTCGGCGGAGTCTGG